ATGATGAATGGGGGCAAAAACAAAGTGTTGCGTTTATAATTTTGTTCAGTGTATATTCACAAGTCTGCATCTTAAATCCTCCCCTACCCTTTACTCCGAAAGCTGAGGAAACCCAGAAGAGACAATGACTTTAATCACCTTGGGGATGCCTACACAGATATTCTTTACATTAAAGTCTTCAGGTAGCTCTGTCGGTGATGAAGGTGCAGGAACTGTTGTTGAGTCTTTAACATCAAGGCCTTGGAGGATACCTGTGTGAAAACACAATCCGAGGTCAGGGCCATTATTTGACGTCAGTGTGACAAATGCACAACAGTGTAGAGCTGCTCAGCGAGGTAGGACTTCTACAGTGGTTTCAGACTTTGCTCACCACAACCCTGGGTGCAGCTAACCCTAGCAATCAAAATAGACAGTATATACCAAGAATATAAGAATAGACTAACTAATAGTAACCTGACACGGCACTACCAATGGTTAAAATTCAATAAAACAATAGAAGCCAGAGCAGGAGGCTAACTAAATTATATTCAGCTGTAACACTATAACTAACTGTTATTTTCATTCTTGATTAATTGGTTGATTATTTTCTCAATTAATCAATTAGTTGTTTGGTCTATCAAATGTCATAAAATGGTGAAAAATGTTGATAATTTCTTCTTAAAAAAGGACTCAAAAAATCTACTAATCTTTCCAGCTCTAGCCAACTGATACCACAAGAACAGCGCACAATTAGACTGAAGGATTTATTAACCAACCCAGTAGACAGAGCCCTGTCAAGCACAGAAATGCCTATTTGAAAAGTAAATATACTCTTCCTGAACTCAGTTACCTCCAGAGGTCACAATGCACACTATTTAACCAGACCCAGATATGTTCAACTAGGAATTCAGGACATTATCCTACAGTGTGATGACAGCTCATCAGTAGTGTCCTACCTAAGACGGTGGCTGCATCACCGACGCTGCGTGTCATAATCCCGGGGACGTCCATGGAGTTGACCAGGGGGATGAGACCATGTCTGGACAGCAGACCGTAAGTGGGCTTCAGGGCCACAACACCACACAATGCTCCTGGGTTACGAGTAGAACCACCTGTGTCTGAACCCAAAGCCCTGCCAAGCAATCACCAAAACAGTACATTTTAAACTGTAAACCATTTTGGATCAAATCTTTCTTTTGTATGTCTTTGTAACCGTGTTCTTTAATGCGTTCCCTCACAGGTAGCTGGTGAGCGAGGCCACAGCTGCAGCACTTCCTCCTGAACTTCCTCCAGTGACGACCCAGTCAGAGTCTGGAGCTGCCTCTGTCTGCTCTCTGTAGGGAGCAGCATAGCTCCAGGGGTTTCTCACTGGACCGAAAGCCCCGTCAGTACTGCCTGAACTGCAACAATAAGTAAGTAAGTAAATAAACACATAAGACAATGACAACCAGTATAATATAAAAAACATGCACTGCAATGAGTCTCTTCCTGTAGGTGTACACAGCTGTAACAGCTTCATCAAATAGATCAAATGTATTTAAATATGTAGAAAATAGACTGGAATGTGTAACTAGGTGTTACAAAAATGCACTATTTGAGTAAAAAGCTATTCTGACATTGATAACAATGGCCTTACCCCATAGCAAACTCATCCATGTTGGTCTTCCCCATGAGAACAGCCCCTTGGTCCAAGAGCTTCTGGACCACTGTAGCATTGTAGGGTGGAGTGTAATCTGTAGCAAACATAATGGTAGGTTGTCATTGCTGGACTGACATACAGTGGAAAATACTCAAATAAATAAGAAGATCACTTTCAGTGCGGTTCACGCTGACCTTTCAGCATCCTGGAAGCACATGTGGTCTTGATATTCTCTGTGCAGAAGTTGTCCTTGACTGCAAAAGGAATTCCATCCAGAGGACCTCTGGGGGCACCTGAGAGCAAACGACATCTAACAGTAACACCTACGAGTCTACACAGAATACACAGAAAACACGTACGCCTGTGTCCATACCTTGCAGCAGTCTGGTTTCTGCTTCTTGAGCCTGCTTCAGCGCCAGCTCCTCTGTCACCGTGATGTAGGCATTAAGATGTTGTGTTTTCTTGATCCGGTTCAGACACTTCCTACAAAGCTCTGTTGGGGAGATTCTTCCCTCTCGGAGCGCCAAAGACACCTGGAGAACGATGATGAAACAGCAGTGGTGGAATGTAACTCGTACTTTAACTCAACTGGCCTTTTTTTTTTTTTACAGCAAACATTGGACATTTGGTCACAGCAGGTAAAGCACAGGTTCTATTCAAGAGTCCCAGACAGCCACGGCAGTGTGTGAGCATGCACGCACAATAACAGGAGCATGAAAATAAAGCATCCAAATGGAATTCAGCCATCATTAACTTTATTATTCACAGCTGTGCTTTTCTTACTTGAAAAAGGTTACTGTACAACTGTAAGGCCCTTAAGTACATTTTAAGCTACTTTGCACTTTAACTCCACTACATTCCAGAGGTCACTGTTCTAGGTTTTATTGCACTACATTGATTAGACATACAAATATAAACTCGTCTGGTAATGTAGTGATACTGCAATAATATATGATAGTAGAAGCATTCTTTTTAACACCTAGTACACTTATTGCTATTTTTATTTTGGTAAAAGATCTCTATGCAACACAGTAGGTGTAGTAGTTAGTAGTTGTCTCGGTGAGCTACATCTTCTGCTGTATTCATACAACTGTGCAATACAACCTCTCACTACGCACACTGAACGTCTGAAGCTGCCCATATGTTTTAGCTACTGCCAGTCAGGACACAAGTGTATCAGAACACATACATTATGTCATTTAAGCTCTGGATGAATTAGCAGTAAGCAGACACACACGGTAAGTAAAGTGAAAGCGCCAACAGTCGTACTGACCTCCCTCACTGTCAGGCTGAGCATGTTTACGGTTCTTTTGTGACAACCTTTCAAATGAACAGCAACCTTCGCACGGTGTGCAGCACCAGCGCTGCCATGTTTGTTTCGATGAGCAACGTCTAACAGCGCTGTCTGTGATTGGACAGCGGTTGAGGAAACCGTGCGCTGATTGGCGGAGCGGCTGAGCACTGTCTATGACGCCGGTGACGAAGAGGCAGCTTGTTACGGAAGAGGACGATGGTTTGAAACGACCATGACTTTGGGAAATATGGCATTTATCTAGTTGAGTAGTTCGATATGTTTGTATAAAGAGAACATGTTTATAGTCAGAAGGTTTTCGTGGCTTTCAAAGAAGTTTAAACAGTGATTTAGTGTCATTTAGCATACCGTTACTGTCTGTGTAACAGGCACTGAATACACTGCTGATTTACAGCTGCAGTTTCATTTTATTTGACAATATTTGAGCTTCATAGAAGTTAAAAGATGTGTTCTGTTAGACATTTAGTGCACAGTAGGTGGTTGTGTTACCTTAATAAATCACTACCAGTTTCCAGCCAGGCAAGACTGTTCAGTACTAGCAGAATCTGCAGGACTGTTATGCCTGCCTGGGTTATTGATAAATATGGAAGCAATGATGTGTTGCGGTTCACTAAAAATGCCAGTTTCCCCATCATCGACTTCCCAAATGAGGTTATTGTCAAAGTGTTTGCAGCAGGACTGAACCCACTGGATGTCAGCATGAGAGGTGAGTGACAAGCAGTGGCATCAGATTGAAACTTGCAGGCTGAGATTAAGTGTGAGACCATTTAGAGTCTATAGTGGCAAAGAATTCAATAAATAAGTCCACATCTGATACATGACTGTATATCCAAGCTTAAAAATATCATATAGTGGGATTGGAGAGTCTCACACTGATGTTTCCTGTAGTTATATGGTTCGTGAAATGAATCATGCCCATCATCCGTCTCCCACGCAGATGCTGTCTGTTAACCAACCTGTGATCTTAAGGCAGGTGGTGGGTTAGTGAGAGGTTGAGTAGTGGATTGCACTGTTGGAGGGCGTTATTT